GTGAGTTGGTGATATTACTACAAAAACATGCAACCTTGCAACCTTTTTCTTGTCTAGGATGTTTGATTATTTGCTGATTTTACAAAAATTAGCCTTTAAGACGGTTTTAGCATTTACATTATCTTTAACACAAGTATTACAGGCTCCTGATTCACATATAAGTCTAACTGCCTGTCCATTAATTGCTAGAACTATTAATTTTGTTGGGAATTAGCCTGAATGTATCACATGTGTGTCAGCTGCTTTTCTGGAGTAACTTCCCCCTACAGCATGTACATCTCTTCACCACTACCCCTCTGTCTGTAGGCTCCGGCACTAATTACAATTTCCTTAACAAATCTCTGCCTAATATATTAACTGGACAGTCTGAGGTATTGTATCCCTCAGAACAGTTTTATCGGCCCCGGTGTCACACAGGAATGTTACTTTTACCCCTTGAATGTTTTAATGCCAGTATGGTTTTTCTGTGTTTAAAAAAGAAAGGAAAATTTGCTGTAGGTCCAGGACCTCCACTGGGTCCACAATTAACTGCAATTTCTTCTGGTGCACATGACTCCTGGCGTCAGTGCTGGTCACAACACTGGTGACAGGGAGGGTCACTCTGTGGGGGTCTGGACATTCTCGAGCAAAGTGGCCCTCCTTATCACAATTGTAGCACCTATTGTGCTTTCTACGTGACCCCTTGTTTTTCCCCTGTGACCACCGGCCCCTCCTTTGAGCCTGATTATGGTCCAAACTACGCTTCATAGCTTTTTCTATGTTTTAGCTTGCACAATCCACTTATTTAATCCCTCTATTTTTTTATTCCCTGTATGTAGCTTGCATGACTAAAATCATTTTCTGGTGGGTTATTAATTTTTTATTTTTTGGTTCCGAACGTAATAATTTTGGAGACCCTGCAGGCGCATTAGGAAGGCTGTCAACTGGATCAATGCTGCAGTCATTGATCCACAGACATACTCCCCCGCTACTGCAGATTCAAGCTGTCTCCCTCTAAACTGTGTTTCATTATCTTTTGGACACACAAAAAACTTAAAAGACCCACAAACATAACTTTAAAGACAGAAACACATAACATTAAAAGACGAACAAACACAACATTAGATCTATTTATTTAAATATTTAATAATAACATATCTACTTTGCGCATGTATTATATCAACAACTCACCATTTGGAGCTAATTTATTTATTTATAAATACTTATTTATTTATCTATGTATATATTTATATATATTTATTTATTCTCGCACTAGTGCTTGTTTTTATCCGGCACATAACATTGCTCCATTGATCTATTCCACACACCATCTATTTCATACTTTTACTTTCACTCCTACAAGTATTTTAAATTACTTGGATCAATCTGACACAAACTTTTCATCCCCTTTATGATCTTCTCTATACTCTTCCCTGAACCCATCCTTTTTTATTCTTTTACCTCCCTGGCTTACTTTAGCTCTATTATTTTATCATTTAGTTCTTATAATTTTATCTTGGAATAGAGGCGTCCCCCCAACCCATTTTTTTTTCAAACTATATATTCAAGTGTTTATTTTTTGTTGGATCCTGCACTTCTACAAACTTCTAATCATAGATTCTAAATAACCCCTACATTTATTTTGACCTTTTCCCATTTTAAAGAATTTAGTCCAGTACAAACACCTAGGGTATTCTAC